TGCGCGGCCCCAGGGGTAAGGAGCGTCAGCCCTACCTTCGCGTCTGGCTCCCTGAGGAAATCCCGCAGGTTTCCGCGGAGGAGATCCCGCACCTCCGAGTGTCTGTTCAAACAGAGGCTTAGCCAAACTCCTGGCGAGAGCTCCCTCCCCTCCCTGGGAGGGTGCCGGAACCCTTGAATGGCAGATCTGGTGGCCCTATTGTGGAAAAGAGAGGGCTATTGCCAGGGCGGCGTCAGCAGCACTCCCGGAGCCGGCGGCCGAGTCCCGCCGGGCAGCCGGCCCCGCAGCACCGGGAGGGAAGGGTCGGCTCTGCCGCCCCGCTCCCCGAAGCTCGCCTTGCCTCCCCGCCCTTCTGGCTCCGCTTGCCGGCTTCTGCTCCCTGATGCCAGCTTAGGTCCCGTCCCGTCCCGTCCCGTCCCGTCCCTCCTTCCCCTCTTCCCCCGCTTCCCCACTCGCGCCTCCCTCTCGCTCGCTTCTCCCCTTTATACTCCTTTGTTGCCCCCCGCGGGGATCAGGGCAGCAGCATCTCCCCACCCCGGCGGAGAGAGGTACAGGGGGAGCCCGCGCCCTTATCCGCGGGGAAGGAGCCGAGAGCCGAGACCAAAGCTGCGGGGATAGGGAAGGGGAGGCAGGACCGAATGGCCACCGCAGCTCGGGATGCCCTTCTCAAAGTTCTCAGCTCCCCTGGCTCGCGAGGGGCAGCGACCTCAGTCCCCTCCCGGCAGAGCGGTTCCTGCGGAGATGCTCAGCCGGGCGGCCCACATCCTGGTGCAGGGCACGGTATCAGACCATGCGGAGAGCCCCGCAAGAGTCCCAAGAAGAGCACATGGACCCCGTAACCCCGTTCCGCCCAGGGCGCGGGGCTGCTGCGGGAGCCGGGGCAGGGGGCAGGTGCCGCAGAGCCCTTGAACGTCGGCGGGGGCTCCGCGCGGCGCCGCGGGGAGCCCCGAGCTCCTGGCAGCGAGCGGTCCCTCGCGGGAGGCGCAGAGGGACCGCCAGCGAGCTCGTTCCTGCCGTGCCTGCAGCTTACATTACATCAGGGGAGGAGGAGGAGAAATGCATTAAAAGCGTCAATTTAAAAGAGCATGCAGCGAGCCTCCGACTCCTACAACAGTGGCTTTCTGCACTTCTAACAATAAAAGTGCACTTGTGGCTGAACTTTTTATTTGCTCGCTAAATAAAAGAAACGGTTCTTATTTGCATAACGCGGCACTTAAAGAATTTCCTCTGTTAGAGAAAGCCCGTTTCCTTTCTCCTGTTTCCTTTGAGCAAATATCCCCATCGCATTCGCCTTCACTCCACAAAGGATTTTATTCCAGCCCGTATTTCTAGACAGCAATATACGTATACCTTTCTGTGTGTATATGGGTATGTGAACACACATGTTTCAAGACATATAACTTACTTCAGCTCCACGTAATAGAAATAGCAAGTCAGATTACTACAGCACATAAATCATTCGAAAGCTTTTTTCTCTCATAAGCCAAGATATATAACCTGTTCGGAGGACTAGATGATCTTGAAGGTCTCTTCCAACCTTGGTAATTCTATGATTCTGTGGCTTTTATTTAAGAATTCGGCTTTAATTACCCGTGCCGGTTTGCGGAATAACCCGTACCCCTATTCGCGGCAGGGAACGCGGGGGAAGCCGTGCGAGGCCGCCGGCCCGCCGCAGCGCACGGGCAGGGGGGCTTCTGGCAGGGGCGTGAGGAGCCCTGCCTGGTGCCCCATAGGGCCAGGCCGGCAGCCGCCGCTGCGAGAGGGCCGCGGGGAGCCCGGCCGAGAGCCAGGGCCGCCCGGTGCCACCGTCCCTGCCAGCAGCCGGGCTGGAAGCGCTCCGACGATTGCCGTCCGTGTCCTTCGTGTATTTACGGACGCAGCTCGCCCTTTGCCTATATTTATCCGTACAATGCAGTGGAAGGGCTTAGATCTAGAAATAGAAGCCGAGAGCAATAGATGGCAGCCTCGGGCTTTTTATAACTCAAAAAGACTTGTTTATTAAAGAAATAAAATTAAATTAAACAACAACAACAAAAAGGAGTGGACACCCTGTCTGACCGGCTCGAAAGGTGCGTGCCATGCCCGCCGTACCCCACCGGCCCAGCCCCCGCCTCAGTGCCCGGCCGCTCCGCTCCGGGCTCGCCCGAGGCCTCTACCAGCGCCGAGGGGAAAGGCATAGGCGAGAGTTGCGGGGCCGCACTGCGGAGCGCAGCGCCCCCCGGGAATGCGGAGACCGGCCCGGGCCACGGGCCTGCCGCAGCGCCGGGAGTGGGGAAAGCCGGCCGTCTGAGCATCGCCCGGCGGGAGAGCCTGCCTGTTGGTCGGCCTCGGTTTGCATTTTGTTTGTTTAGGGTTTTTTTAATCTTCTTTTGGGATTTTGTTGTTTTTCAAATTGAGGGATTTACGGTCACGGCATGCCACCACTCCAGCATCCTGCTCAGGCTCGGACAACGGGGAATGCTGGGAGCCAGTAGTCCCCGCCGCAGCCGCCGCGCTCCTTTCCCTCTGCACAATGTGCAGGGCAGTACCAGCACCGAAGCTGCCGCGGGGTCTCGACGGAAGGCAGCGGGGCAGCCGTCTGCTCCCCGGCTTCCCGAGCAAACCCCTCCGGTAGCTCTCCTCACCCGCCGTGTCCCGCCCGCGCTCCGGCTGGCCACGCTTGTGCCCGCTGCAGACAACGAGGGCGGCTTTCTCTTCCCGCGCGCTCACTCACGCCGAGGTTATTTACTCGCACTCGGAGGTTTCCTGGTCCCTTTAGCCCGTCGCGTGATTCCCGGGGCACAGCCCCTTGCCCGGCGCGGTGTGTTTCGCCGTCTGGGAAAGGGCGGAGGGGCGCCTACGGGTGTTGCAGCCGCTCTGCGAAACCGCGCTCTAGCTGTTATTAGCAAGTCTCTCTCTTCAACCATTAAGCACTCTTATTATCACTATTGCTATTAATTATCCTCGCCGAACCATGTGTGTCTCATTACAGCCCACCATCCCTAGCCACATCACAAGGGGCTCGCAAAGAGCACGGGCTAGGCCAGTCCGGGCCGCTCGCCGCCGCTGCGGGGCTCCCACTGAAGGAGAGCGCGGAGGTCCGCTTGAAAATAAATCAGGGGAACCCCGGCGGTGTTAAGAAGGGTAATAAACTCGTGTGATTCTATCGGGAATTGTAATGTGGCATCACAGGCTATGCCGGCGCCCTGGGCTTTGCAACCTACAAAAACAAGAGAGCCGGTTAGCAGAGAGAGGATGGCAGGACGGTAGGGAAGGCACGAGGGCTCCCCTGCACTCCCACTCCCAGCGGAAGCGAAGACCGGGAATGTCTTCCCCGGGCCGCAACCCCGCGGGGCTCCCCGGTCCCATCGTGTCCTTCCCCGTGAAGCCCCACCTGGCGCAAGAAGGCCTTTGCGGATGAGGCCTTGACGCCGGTGGGAGTTGTCCGCCAACGGGGAAAGGGCAGGGGAAGAGAGGGAAACGTGGAAGAAGGAAAAAGCTCCAATCATGGCCAGAACAAACGTGAAAGCAGCCCTTAAACAGAGCCCTCATGCCACTGCGCGGTTCAGTGGGGAGATACCCGTGGGAGGAGGGTTGCGGGCAAGGACCCGTGAGGGCCGGGGCAAGGAGCAGAGCGCAGCCGGAGGAGGGGGGACGGGATCGACCCTGCCCGTCCTCCGGGCGCACCGTAGCCAGGCTGTGCCTGCGCTCCCGAGCACGGCTGTATGGCGAGGACTTACTGCCCTTTCCCAGTGAAGGGAAGTCACCTGTGCGGGGAGGAACTGGGGCTGTGGACCTGAATCCAGGGACACCTCAGATGCAAGTAGGGGGCGATGGACGGCGCCTGAACGCGAGCCGGCACGCAGCGGAGATGGATAGAGGCATGGCGCCTCTGCCCCCTTTTAAGTCTAGAGATGGGGGGAAAAAGGTAAATAAAGAGGAAAAAGAGTGCTCAAATGACGGCGAGAGCATAGAAGTGAGATTGCCGGCCTGATCCGGACCTCTCCTGGCTACCCTGCGCCCTCATTCCGTAGACACCGTCCGTCTTAGGTTCTCCCTGGAGACACGATCCTATCGCTGTCCCTGCCCGTTGGGGACACGGTGGACTGACTCATTCCAGGATGGGGACCACCTCAGAGGCGACGCGCTCAATCTAGGCCGGGACAGTCCCTCTTCACCCACACAGAGATCACGGTGAGGAAGAGGGATTTCATTTCCACTTTCTCTTCATGGGAAAACTGATTAGGGGGATTTATTTGTTTCGTTGTTGAATTTTTGTTTGTTTTTAGGGGGTGTTGTTTGTTTGTTTTCCTTTTTTCCTAACCCCCTAGATACAGCGGAGACCTCCCGAAGAAGCCTTTTAAAGCCACGCTCGGAAACGACACGAGGAGCGCCCCCGTTCCCGGCTGTCCTGTGAGCGCCAGCGCGAGGGAGTGTCTTAATTGCTGCTAATGAGCCGCAGAGAGGATGCGAGGGAGTTATCTACAGCCGGGCAGAAATCAATTAGAGAAGTGGCAATTAGGAGAGAAAGTGAGAGACAGGAGAGACAGTTACAGTGAAAAGTGAAGATTTCTGTGAAGTTTTCCAGAAATTCTTCCTGTGGAAAAGTGTCCCCGCGGAGGGTACACTGCGCAGCCCGGCGCTCCGCTCTTTCTTTCTCTGCCAGTTTCTGCGGACTTCCCCGCACTGCTTAAGAACTAACGCTTTGCGGGAGCGCAGCGGTCCCGTTCCGAAATTACGATTAAGATCACCGCAAAGCGGAACACTGCGGGAAAGGCGGCTTTCCGCGGGCGTCGGAGGCTCCAGACCCGTCTGAGAATGAAGATACTCGTGGGGCACGGCGGCACCCGCTGCGGCGGGAGGGGGCTGCGCGCCGGAGCCGGGCAAGGTCTCCTTGACCCTAGTAGGGTTTGTTCTGCCGGGCAACCACCCCCCACATCCCCGGGAGGCCCTTTCCAGGCCCGGGAGTATCTCTCCGTTTTCGCCTCCAATGTTTCCCCCGCCGCACGCCAGGGACTCACCGTAACAGGAGACCTGCAGAGTTCCGTTGTGGCCGCTGCTCTCTTGCAGCTTGATGTTGCTGTCCGGGGGGGTTTTGCAGGGGCCTCGCTGCATGTAGAGGTGCGGCGGCTGTTGCTGCGGAGGGTATTTGTTAAAGGAGGCCGGAGCCCCGGCAGAGCCGGCAGCCTGCACACTGCCATCCAGGGACTGACATTCCTGCTGGCTGTAGCGGCTCCGGCACTTAGTGCTGCTGTCACCAAAGCCTTGTCCTTTGCTGGCCAGGAAAGTAGGGCTGAACTTGTCACTTGCTTGAAATGCCCTAAAAGGCGAGGAGCCTTCTGTGTCCTGGGAGGCTGCGTTGTAGTAGGAATCCATGGCAGCCGGATCACAATAAGAAACACAAGTATCAGCATTCATTCCTAAAATTAAAAGGCCCGAGTGTCCTTAATGCGCTTGGAGGGGCACCAGGAACCACTCTTTCTCTCTCCCTCTCGCATAGACACACACTCACAGCTGGGCTGGGGAGCTCTAAGAGAATTCAGATGTTGGTGAAAGCTGACCAGAACTCCAAACCCCCTTAAGATCTCGCACAGTAAAAGGGGTCTTTTTCTTTCCCTCCCTCCCTCCCTCTCTCTCACACACACGCTTGCCCTCCGTCTCTCCCTCTAAACTACACTTTAAAGAGGCTCTTCTCCGCACTTTCCCCCCACAATAGGAAAGAAAAAAAAAAAAAGAGAGAGACCTCTCCCCCAATTAGTATGTAGATGATGACAGTGGAGGGGAGGGGGCCCAGGAAGGGGTGTGTGAGAGCGTGTGTGTTTATGGGGGTGTGTGGAAGCAGAGGGGGGGTGGAGGTCATATCTTTTGCGTTAAAAAAAGTTTAAAAAATAAGCCAACTAAACAAAACAAAACCAGCCCCAAAAGTTTTTATGATTAAAAAACAGAAAATCAAGCGGATGACATGAACGCCACGAAGGAACGGGTGCGGGATCCGCGCCGGCGGAAGCGCCAGGGACGATTTAATGGTCGTGACACGCTCTGTTTGCTCCGGCCCTCTCCCCTGCTCACTGCCCCAGCTGCGGGGACCCTCGCCGCCGCGACCCCCTCCTCTGTATTAAAGGCAATACGGATTTCCCTCGCAGCTATATGTCTTTAAGCCTCCCCCCCACCCCTCATCGCATTAACCCCTTCAGGGACGAAAGCTCTCCCAGCGCTGCAGTGAGCAGGGAGTGTGCCACAGTCGCCCCGTACATCGCCGGACGAGCTCTCCATCGCGTCTCGGTGCACGTTTATGATGGTCGTGATTTATTTACCTCTAAAAACGTGCTCTCTCCAGGTGTAAAACAACTGCATCCAAACGGGAGGGCAGCAGGGAGGGATTTTAACAGTGTCACCAAGCATACAGAATTGCACCAGGCTTCTGGGATTGCCAGAGGTGACTTGTAAAAGGACAGAGGCTGACAGGAACCCTTTTTGGTTTGAGGGGTCAATTGCAAACCAAAAAGGGCTTAAAATAAATCAATACTCACCTTTCGTCGTCCATCTCCCCCCGCCCCCCCGCCACTCAGCCTGATTCCCCTCCTCCCTCAATTAACTCCTACTACCCCTTCCACTTACTCGTACCCTGCCTTCCTCCCATCCCCACATCTGGTTTCTATTGCTCACTTACCTTGAAGTTTTCAGTAATAAAGATATTACGCAAACTAAATGCGCAGTTCTTCGGTCAAGAAGAAAAAAAAAAGAAAAGAAAAAGTGAAATAAAAGAAGAGAAAATTAAGTAAATAAAACAGAAAACAGAAACGGAAAGGGAAGAAAAGAAGACCCTTAACCCCTTCGGGAGCGCTGGCCGTGACGAAGCCGGCTGCGGGCGGGGAGCGGGGGCACCGTCGGCTGCTCTGGGCTCCCAGCGGGCTCCCCGCGGAGTCCAGCCCATGTGTCCTCCCTTCTCCCGCGCAGCTTCCTCCACCCCGTGCAGAGTCGGGGGGACTCGTGGCTTCCATCTGTGTGTGTGTATCTGTGTGAGTGGGGGGGAGCAGGCTGCGGCTCGGGGGAAAGCGGGGCGGCAGAATGGGAATGCGACCCCCAAGACGACTGTTCGGGAGGGGCCCGTGGACAACACCAGCCTCCAGGCCTTTGCTCCAAGAGCAAGGCCAGCACCGCCGTTTTCATTATCTCAGATGTGACACTAGGCACCCACCCCTCGCACCAGTATGCAGAAGGGATTTCTAGCGACGTCGTCGTTAAAAACAGCCAGAGATGGTTTCATTTACGAGATTTCAAACCATTTTGCAAGTCTCACTCAGAGCAGCGCTGGGCTCGCTCAGTTTTCTTGTCCAAGAAAGCTTTCAGCGGATTTGCCTTCCTTATTCTCTTTATTACCTTACTTAATTCTTTTCTCGTCTTTTCTCTCTCCCTTCCCAAACTCCCCCAACCCACCGCAGCCCCCTCTCTTTCCCTTGTCCGCCACATAATGAAAACCAAACCAACTCAATGCATAAGAGTCTTTCTAAAAACCACTTCGGGGCGGCCAAGGGGGCCGGGGCATTGTCGGTACCGGGGCATTGTCGGTACCGGCAGCCTTCGAGCGGCTCCGCCGAAGGGCAGCTGCTCTGGGTACCGGCAGCACTCCAGCTCCCGCATCCTCGGCTCCTGCACGTCGGGCTCGCAGCCTCTCTCACGGAGGAGGGGCACGTTAAATACTTGTTTTCCAGTTCTTTCCCCCACGATTATTTCGGGGAACGAAAGAAATTCTGTGAGGGCAATTCTCGATGCTACGGCTTTATATTCGGCCTCGGGATTTCTCTTTGGCAAAGTTAAATAACAGCAAGAGCAAAATCTAAAGGCGGAGATTTGGGGATCGGGCGGGAGATTTTTTATATATATATATACAAATATATATATACACAAATATATAAATACACAAATATATAAATACACACACACATATATATATATAAAAATTTTTATTCGGAAGTGTTGCGATGCAGTGGCTCGCAGAGACAGTGCGGCGTGGCCGAACCGAAGGAGGGCTGCCCAGGTTCCCTTCGGTCAGAGCAGTCTCCCAGCCCCTCCTTGCATTAGACTATAACGAAAAGTCCATTAATTTCGTATCACAGCTAATCCGCAGCCCTTGGAAAGGACTGCAATAAAACCCTCTCTCTAATGGCCAATTTTCCGTCCCTGGAAGCGGGAGGTTAATTTGGGAATCGTTACCGGGAGAAAGGGTGCGCGCAAATACCTGGCGATCTAGCGGGGATGGGAGGGGAAAACGGGGTAATCACTTTTCTTGACGGTTTTCGTTTAGGTGGATTGGGTTTTGCGTGCAGTTCTCTCAGCAAGTGTGATGGGGGATTCCCGCAGCCCCCGTTAGCCGGGGAGCGGAGCCTTGAGAATACAGAAGCAAACAGGGAGCCTGTAGCCCCCTCCTGTTAAACGAGGCGATGGGGCTTCTTGTCGCGGCGCTGCCGGCACGGCCGTGTCCCTCCGGCCGCGGGGCTCTGCCAGCCCGGTCTCACCGCACTCCCGCGTGCGAGATCGAGGATCCGCAGAGCAGGGACACAAAGGGACGAGCAACACTTGAGGCACGATATCACCATTTTTTTTAGAGTGATCTCAAATCTGCCCTGTCCCTGCATCAAATGCCTCCAAAAGGGAAGGGCGAAAGGGCAGCCGAAAGGTCTGCGCTCCGCAGAAACCCGTTGCCAATTCCGTGTGTGTGTATGCTTTATATTGAGACCGTTTTCAGGTATGATTGCTGTTAGTTTTGGAAGGGGTCACTCCCGAGGGTCCCTTCTCACACAGAGCTGCGGGAGCCCATATGAGAGCCAACCGGTCCGACTGTACGGACGGCAGCTCACACCGAGCGAGTCATAGCTGGGGGATTGTCGGAAATCTCCAGCGCCGGGCTATCCAAATGTCGCCTGCCGGCGACACCCCAGGGAACAGGGACAGCTCAGGACAGCCCTGCCTGGCTTGTTTTCGAGAAGCCGTTTCTTTTCTGCAGAGGCAAGGGTGGGCGTCGCTCCCGGGTGAGAACCCGGTGCGAGGCGCAGACGATAGCAGACGGATCCTACATCTCGATCTCTGAAAGAAAAACAAATCTTTATTCCCGTGCGATTTAAACAGTCAGGCTTGTGTCAAGTCCAGGGGAAAGGCAGAGGTTTCTGCACACCGGGTGCGACAGCGCAGGGCTGCGGGAAGCGGGAGCCCGGAGGGCTTCTGGGACGAGCCCCGCTCTCGCAGGAGGCCGAGGGGAGGAGGCAGGAATGCTCTTCCCCGCTTTCTCAGACACGGCCGAGGGAAACCCGCCGTGTCCCCTCAAGCCTCCACCATCCTCCCGACACTCCCGGTGGCTGCAGCCAGAGCAGAGACAGGATGGCTGAGGAGAGTCCCGGCAGGACTCTGGGGTGCCGGCTCCAGAACCCCCGGTCCTGCTCCCTCCCTCAGAGAGGTGGGAGAGTAAATGCCTCGGTTCAGGGAGCGGGGTCATTTCACTGGAGAGAGGAATGGAGAGAGGGGGGATCTTTCACACCGTTTCCTCTTGGCACTTTGGTAGAGCCCTGCTCTTGGAAACTGCCTCGAGTTTGTTTCCCGAAAGGGTTAGTTTGTGTGGTCACTTCAGACCTGCGAGCTCCTTTTGTACTGAACCGAGATCTGAAGGCGACCTATTTATAACACCGCTGCAAGGGGGGAGAGAGCGAAAAAGTATTCAAAAAGTATTCGCGCTAATCTCCCCTAACTTTTTTTTTTTTTTTTTTTTTTTTTTCCTCTTTTTCCGGCGGGACGAAGCTGCATCTTTATTTCGGGCGTGGAGCTTGCCTAGCGACCATCCCGACAGTACCTGCCGCCTTGCGCTCTTGGCTCCTGCCTCCCGCCGGGCACCGTCTGGGGCCTGAGCAGCGCTTGGCGGGGGCTTTGCTGTCCTGCCTTTTGCGCCTTTCTTCAGGGATAAATGTCGATAAATGTTTGTTGTTATCAAAATACGTTCCTCGTGTCAAGAAGGTGCTTGCAGAGAACTGGAGCTGACCAGCTCTTCTCTTCCCAGGGAAAGCGAAGGAGCAGGCTCCGAGACGGGACAGGCTGGCCCCTACCTCCCCGGGCTTGTGCGGGCAAAGCTTTTCTATCCACCTCCTCCGAACTGCCCCCTGCTGCCTCTTACCACCACTTCAGTAAGGCGGCAGTGCCTGCTCCGCTTCCCGGAGGCTCTCATCCCTCAGCCCTTGTGCCTTTCGGCTGTGGACCCGCAGCCGCGCTGCCCGTGGCTCCCCGCGGCCTCGCTCCGCAGTCTGGCCCGCCTTACTGCTCCGGGGACGGTGTGTTCCGTGCGGATCCACAGGTGTGCATGGCCACCTGTCCGTGTACTTGGATGGTGTCACCAAAGCGGTCTCCGAGGGACGGTGGGTGAGGGACCCGAGGGA